CTGCTACTGCTACTGCTGCTACCACCACCACCCCTACTCTTCTTTCCACTACCACTATGGCATTTGCTACAGGGCTCCAAAATCGGCAACAACATCCCGTGCTGCCACCAAGCTACGGCACACAAAGCTTCGCATTCGACCCAGAAGCTTCCGTCTGTCCCCGCGGGCTTGTTCTGAGGAAGACCAATCGCTGCCCAAAACCTGCTCAACCCTAAACCCTAAACGGTTTTTCATCCCACCCGCTTCGCTGATCAGGTCGCACTGCCGGGAAACTGTGCTCCACGACAGAAAGACGTGTGCAAGACCCGGGCCGACGCTAAACGGTTTGGGTTTAGGGTGTCTTAGGGTTTGGGTAAGCTGCGGGACGCTCCGGGGGCCTTGAGAAAACACGGGTCTTGGGCCTCAGGCCTACAATCTATGCAGCCAACTACGGGTTCACCACTTCGGTGCTGATGTGGATGTTTAGCGTAGTATAGGGACGGTAACTTGTTCGAGCGGATTCTGAGTGTGAACGACCGAGAACGATGCCATGCGACACCACGAAACCATTTCATTTCATAGTACAATTCTTACTCAAGATTGCGGCCCCTTGCTAAGGCATTCGGCATGGGTCCAACTTCTTCGATCTGATTCGACAGGCACCGCACAGTTCAGGATGATGTGTAGGTTGGCGGAGATTGGGTTTCGGAACTTGGTGCTTATCGGTCTGGCAGGACTGGATATCCACGCATGTGTGCACGTATGTACTTAAATACACTCATGTACACACAAACTTATAGAACCATGCCTCTGCCTCCCGATGACAGCTCTATATATATATATATACATACATATACATTTGCCTATACACAGACATCCACATGAGAATGTGTATATATATATAAACACACATAGACGCATGCGCACATCTGTGTATATTTTTATACACGTATATAGATATGTAGAGCTGGCTGTTTGTTCACGCATCTGTCTAAACATACACAAGCTTCTACATCTGCAGATATTGCATTTTGTATACAGATATGTATCTACATAAAGTATCTACACATACATATACACATACGTGCAGAAACCGCTTTATGCAAAGAAACATCTGAGCACCTGCGTAACTGCATACAGACATACATACATACAT